ATAAGACAATCTAACATAATTTAAACAATCTTAAGTGAACATTCACTGAGATAATGGCTAATATACTTCATTTCAAGTGAAAGACGCCATGAAATAGGGAAGCATGGGCCATCTCATTTTAGAAGAATAAAATTATAAGAAAGCCTAACAATCCAGGGAGGTGGCAGTATGCTTTCCAGTTCTTCCTTTAATAAACCAAACTGACTGACACTCATACAGTTTCCAAACAATGAACAAAAGAGGGAGTTCTTGTAATAGAAATCATTCTGGAAGACCTTGCCCACACTAATAAGATAGATATTTAGGGTAATAGAGCTTGCTGATTTGCATCAGCATAGGATCTGTTCTTTAGAAGCAAAACGTTATAAACCTAATTTATATACCTTTGTATTTGTGTAATATTTCAATAATCTAATATGATTAGATAGCAATATGCATATTTTTCTATCTAGCAAGTAGTGAAAGGTTCAGCCTCTTCTCTATCTGATACCACTACCAAAATGGTGACTATCAGATATCAAAAAGTCACTTGTACATGCCTAATTAGTGGAGGAGGGCCAGAAACATGATTTTAGGCAAATATCTTCCAATTTTCTGTCAAGTGCCAGGAAGGTCCCTAGTAGAAGTTAGAGCAACACAAAAACTGCTGTAATATGAGCTGGCTGTCAACTGTCACAAGGACTCTGATAGCCACTGATTCACAGATATTCTATAAGTGACAAGGAGTCCTGTGACACCTTATAGACAGATGTATGATGAAGTGGGTCTTTGCCCATGAAAGCTTATGCTCCAATAAATGTGTTAGTCTATAAGGTGCTACAGGACATAGAGACTAATTTGCAGATTCAGACTAACATGGCTACCCCTCTGATACAGATATTCCATGTAAGCTTCATTTTCCCTGTTTACTTCCTCACCCTCACCTACACATACATGCAGCCACAAAGATCTGACCCTTCAAAGGCCATTTTAACCTTATATTTCACCACAATTTTTAAATTATTATCAGGTCAACAAGCAAAGATTAGGTTAGCATGAGGCAATCCCTAAAATCATATGAAAATCTGTTCTCTTAATAGTATAGGATCATGGATATTTTGGATATTGATTATTTTCAAAGAAGTGGGTGGGTAAACAAATGAAGCATATGGGGTATAGGAGAGCATTATTGCTGAAATGTACCGAAGAGCTATCAAAGACTCAGTGAATTTCCCAGTTATGCTCAATATCCTAACTGATTTTTGGTAGTTCAGTACTCCTTCTGTGCCTTATATCACACTACAAAGTGTAAGGAAAATGATAATTTGTTTAGCTATTATTCCTTCATTACCTAAATTAAATAAAATCTAAATGGCTCATCCATAAATTGTAGTTAAAATTCTCTATTCAAAAAGAGCAATACCTCACCAGGACCAGATGGTATTCACCAAACAGTTCTGAAGGAACTCAAACATGAAATTGCAAAATAAACCAATTGTAGTCTATACTCTGTCATTTAAATGGGTTTCTATACCAAATGACTAGAGGATAGTTAATGAGACCCAATTTTTAAAAAGGGCTCTAGAGGTGATCCGAGCAATTTGAGTCTGGTAAGCCTGAATTCAGTACTGGGCAAATTGATGGAAACTATAGTAAAGACAAAAACTGTCAGAAATACAGATGAGCATAATTTGTTGGGAAAGGGGAGTGTAGGAGCGGTATGATGCTGTGGCCAGATGGGGGCTTGGCCCCAATTTGGGGTTTGTTGGCCAGGCTTCATTTTCAAATAAAATACTATGTCAAACACAAAAAGTTT